TTAATTGGTAGTAGGCTTTCGAGCCTATACAGCTTGGAGTAAGACAACATGCATGAAGAGGATGATGTGGACAAAATACTCATTTGCCTAATAATTCTGTACACCCTGTACCGGGGCAGGTCCACCACAGGCGAATCAGATCTGGGTGTGTGTCCCTAACATCTTGGCGCACAGCTGGGGTCTTTCCTCCTCATCCACAGCCATTGACTGCAGCGCTAAGCAATCCCTGGAATCACCTTGAAGGTGGTGGCATAGGGTTTGGCTGTGCATCTCCAAGTGTTTAATAAGTTTAACTGTGGAAATGCTAAACTGTTGCTATCCAGCCTCAATGCTCTGCATCTGATTTCAGCTGAGTGTGTCACAGCTTTTTCCCATGGTACATTTAGTTCTATAAAGAAGACAATACAGAGAGTGGTGGACCAAAGTACCAGATCTGGTCTTTGGGCAGAAGCAACTATTTCTGATGGGATTATAAGCTGTTGACCTGTATCAAAGAACATTTTCTAGTAACAACCTCCTTCAAAAGTCTTCCTGGTCAGTGATGGAGGGTATTTTTGTCATTGTTCTTGAAGTGGCAGTGGTGATGCTCTTTTGGCATTGATAGACAGAGACTTCAGCACCTGGTTGTGTCTCTAAGTATACCTGCCTTGACAAAGGCTCACCTTAATTAAAGTCATGATGTGCCTGAGTGCGTTTCCAGTTGATTGTCCCTTTATTCAATATTTCCCACTTCATCCACTTTTGCAGTTGGGCTTCTAAGATTAGCAAATCTTGCAGCCACCTCCTGCCACTGGAGTTCTAAAACTACCAGCTTTCGCCATTTTCCTTTGTTCCACAAGGGTCTATCTGGAAACAGGCCCACTCCTACTCTCCTTTGCTGAATGTAGCTCCCAATCTTAGAAGGATGGAGTGCTGATTTAGCCTGTAGTACAGTTTCTGTTGGTGTCCATTTCCAACATGTTGTTAATACTGGCATGACGGGTCTTATGGTTGTGTCTCAAGACTATGAGAAGGTCAACTCCAGTCTTGTCTTGAAGCCTAGTTTGAAAGAGCTTGTTGGCTTTTTCTACATGTACCACAAGTGAGAAAGTCAACTTTTCAAGAATCTTACCGACGGTCCTTCTACTGTCTTTCTATCTCCAGGGCCATTCCACACTTCAACCATCACAGGACTCCAGCACACTATTAACATGGATGGCAGAGACGAATTCACAGAGGACAGTGAATGCTGCAGCAACAACTCCCAGGAAGTCCAAGGGCAGGATAGCTTCTCAGGTACAGGATGGAGGGAAGGGTCAGGGAAGGACTGTTGGACTCTGTAGGAATGTCCTTGGAATGAGGGGTGTTAGTGAGAATAAGCCCTGCCCTGTGTTTTGTTGTCTGTCCGTATTGATAGGGCTGTGTTTGCCTCCATAGAAGACAGCGATAGTGACCCAGAAAACCACGGTGAAGACTCGTCCTCCAACACCTCTGCTGACGACCACATGACCACCAAGAGAACGCAGTGTCTCCTACAAGGAGCAGGAGTCAAAGAGGTGAGAGGGCTGCTAATTTAGACACCTTCACTCCAGTGTTTGTTATGATGGTGCTTTGAATGGCAATAATGTTTATTTCATTCTAACAAATACAAAAAAGGAACACGCACAAAGGTTGTGGTAAGGTTCTCATAACTGGAAAAATAATTTTATCTATTTCTCACTGTGTACTTCTTTGAAAACAACTTCTTGGCACATCATCAATTAGTTTGAACACAACTTATGCATTACACTAGAAGAGACCATACTGGTAACGTTGTGGTGTGGAATAAACACACAAACAAAACACGACAGAGATTTTAAAAAAAAAATGAAGACAAGTATCTGCCCTGCATCTGTTTGATTATGAAATATGTGGTTTATAAACGAGTTGGTAGGCGTGAGAAGAATTTATCAACTCTCATCCATCAGTCGTGCATGAAAAACAAGTCAACGTGAACCGTAATTTGCATCTAGATGCCCACCCTGTCATCTGCTCCAGTTTTATGATGTTTAATTAGGTTCATGCATCTGTGAATTTAAAGCTAATGTGCTGTGCTAGAGAATATTGCAGATATTTCTCCTGAGATAACCGGAAAGGAAGAAGTGATATTTCACCAAAATCTTTCTATTTGTATGCAAAATAACAATTAACATAATAAACTTTTGACATTTTTGTTTTATTACTTTGAAAAGATAAAAGTGAAAATGATAAATAATCAGTTAAAAGACATCACTAATATAGTAAAAGTGGGGGGGGGAAAAGTAGTGGGCTACCTACATCTACAGGGGCCATGGAAACCCATGCCATGAAACCACATGCAGTTACTGAATCAGCAGAGCGTTGGTGAATTTTATGCACTGCTCTGTAACTTTACATGATCTGCCACATTCACAGATGAGTTGCTGTGGTTCCTAAAAGCTTCCACTTTGCAATAATACAGCTTACAGCTGATCGTGACTGTTTGTGAAGGAAGAAATTTCATGAACGGACTTGTCCTCGCAACGCTGGCGTCATTTTACAGCAACACACATGAATTCAGAGAGCAAACCATTTTTTCACAAATGTTTGTAAAGGCAGACCATATGGCTGTTTGATTTTTTTAGACCTGTGCAATGGTTCGAGAACACCTGGATTCAAAGATGACGAGGTCTGGCCCAATATTTTTATTCAAAAGTGCCCTTTGAGTTATTAGACACCCCCAGGTCCAACCAATATGTTTTCTGCCTGCACCTTCTGTTTGAAAATGTTCTGTGAGTCACATCTGTCTCAGCACACAGTGTGATGTCACTGTCAGTGAGTCACCGGGACTTGTGGGAATTTTGCTCAGTCATACACTCAACACGTCTTCATCCACTTGTGAAAATGCTTCAGACCAAAACAAGGCCTCTTTTACATTTTAACTGCCATCATACAAATTGGAAATCTTAATTTAATAAATAACTCAGAATTCAGATTTGTGATTTACAACTGTAAGATGTAGGTGTAAAATCATTTGAATGTAGTGTTAATGTGCTTCTGAAACGAGTTTAAATGGTTCTTGACTTTCCTCAGGAGAGCGAGGAAGGGGGAGAGCACAGCAACAACTTTGTTTGTCCTCTCTGCCCGCTGGATTTCAGCAGCCCAGATAAGCTCATCTCCCATGTCTACCAGGTGAGAATAACATCGTCTCACCTGCCCCGATCTAGTACAGAACCAAAAAAAGAAATGCAATTTTCAAAGCCGTGTGGCAGCAGCCTATCTGCTCTGCAATCTGTCTACTTTGTCATATAGCTGCATAGTTTTGTTTTTTAAACTCTGTATGCTGTTTGCATTTATACTACCATGCATAACAACCACAGCATCAATTATAACTGTTGCAGACATGAATTTAAATATTATAATTTTACTTTTCAAGTTCATAATATTTTAAATGTATATTTCCTTTGTTATTTTTTTCTTTTGCAAACATATTGCAAACTGATAATCGCCTGCAATACAAAGTTATTACATCTTTTAAGTTTGCTGCTTTTCTCATCTCTGTTTGCTGTCTTGTAACAGCACACGACTATGATGAGCAACACCAAGAGCTATGTGTGCCCAGTGTGTGGGCGAGCCCTGAGTTCGCCCGGCTCACTTGGACGCCATCTTCTCATCCACTCCGAGGACCGCCTCTCCAACTGCGCTGTCTGTGGTGCACGCTTCACAGACACCAACAACTTTAACAGGTTGAGCTCATCTCTGCTGTAGCTCTCATCTCAGGTCTTAAATGCAGATTGAATATAGATGTTGTGATAAAATTATACTAACCGGGTCCTGAAGTTTCTGTGTTTATTTAGTGCTTATTATTTAATTATGTCATTTATCATAAACTGAGTAAAAAGAAGTCACATTTTCTCTTTAATACATTATAATAGAATGAGAAAGAGCAATGGTTTTCCAAGTGTGGGATTAGACAGAATGCAGAGCATGAGGGATGAATAAAATTAGTACTGCAATGACAGATTTAATGGAAATAAACTTGCGTGTTGCTTAGCAACTACCATTACATTTCTAATTTAAACAGCACTGACAAGGTCAGGACGCATTGTAGAAGGAGAAGCAGTGTGAAGTGATGAAAAGGAGAGAAGAGAAAAGTCATGAAGCATTACAGTTGGCAGAAGCATTTGCTGCTAAGTTTGGAAAAATAAAACATAAATACTTGTTATTCTAAAGAGAGACAAAAAAAAGGTGTATCTTAGATGTACGTGGAAAAGCTGTTTCATGTTGTTCCAGCCAGCTACAATAAAGTAACATAACCAGCATCTGGCAACCAGTGTTTTCTGAACAGTCACCTCCTCTGAGGCTGTTAACAGCCTGTTAAACTTCTCTCCAGAGAGCTAGCCAGAGTTCATTTGACGCATGGCCCTTATTCCTCTCTGAAGCAAAAAAGTTTGGGAAACGACTAACATGGAATCAGTCATCTCTTCCCATTGCAGCAAAGTGGTTTCAAGTCATGTAACTCATCGCAGCTTGACAGAAGCTAAATTTTACTGTTGCCTAAAATATGTGACCATACGAGCCAGGCTAACAAAAATTCAAGGCAAAAACAATGCCTGTCAGTCTGATGTATGAAGCCTTTGTTGCAGGCTGGTGGAAAAAAATCCCTGCGGGGTGAAATCTCGGATTTCAGACTGCTCTGAACACTTAGTTTCAGATAGTTTAGTTTTTTTTCCTCCTGCTCTTGTCTCTGTGTAACGTAAGCGAGAGAGTATATCACAGATATCGTGATCTCAGGCACGCTGTGGCTGTGTGCACAGAAACCCCACCAGCTGTTCAAAACTCAGATGAAAGTTAGTTTATAGTGACGGTGAGAGCTAAAAGCATTTTACTTAGACGCAGTATAAAATGAATACGTTTATTTTTAACAGGAAACAAATCTCGTCTAGGAGACCTCAAGTGAAAGGCTCTATGATCCCCACATTAAAGATTTAGACAGGAGCAAGCTTTCTATCAGGGATCTAATGCTTCCCTGGAAGAGTCCAGACCACTTAAAAAAAAAAAAAAAAAAAAAAAGGATGTTTACCTGATTCATGTATCCTGTCATAGGGAGAAGCTTAAAGAAGTCCTCGACACAACTAGGATGGATTTTACTGGGGGAAGGGACACCAGTTCCATGTCCCAGTCCCTCTCGAGCAGCCCCATGAGCAGCCCGGGCCCCTGCACTGACTCTTGCCATGGACCGGGCCCCAGTCCCAGTTCGTGTCAGGGTCCTTGCCCGTGTCAAACAACTAACCCCAATCCCAACCTATGTCAAGCCCAACGTTCCTGCCAGGGGCAGGGTCATATCTCAAGCCAGTGTCAAGGCCCCAGAGCATGTCATGGCCCTGGGCCAGGATCAGGACCGTGCACGGACCAGGGACCCGCATTTCCCTCACTGCCCGATAGTCTCCTCTCTGAAGGGCCATCCCTCGCCTCAATCCCTGATGCACTCAACTCCTCCTCTTCAGGCCTTCCTCCTATCCCTGATATCCTGAGCCCTATGCCAGTGTATCCTGCCGGAGTGCTGCTGGTGTGCAACAGCTGCGTGGCTTATCAGCAGCTAGTGGCGGCCCAGTCACCGATGCGAAAATGGGCTCTGCGTCGGAAGAACGAGCCCTTGGAGGCCCGACTGCAGCGTCTGGAGCGTGAGCGCACGGCAAAGAAGAACAAGCGGGCGTGTGAGACAGAAGAAGAGAGGGAGCTGAGGCGGCTGCGGGACCGCGAGGCCAAACGCATGCAGAGGATGCAGGAAACGGAGGAGCAGCGGGCACGCAGGCTGCAGAGGGACAGGGAGGCCATGCGATTAAAGAGGGCCAACGAGACACCAGAGAAGAGGCAGGCCAGGCTGATCCGCGAGAGGGAGGCAAAGAGGATCAAGCGACGGCTGGACAAGATTGACCCTGCTCTGAGGACACAGATAGAGCACGATCCTGCAGCCATGGCTGCCCTCACAGCAGACATGAGTCTCTTCCAGTTTCCCTGCCCTATGCCTGTCCCCTCCATTGATAATGGTCTATTCATGAAGCTGCCCTAGTGGGTCCAGGCCAATCGGGTGAGGGCAGAATCCAGTTGGCTTCTCGCAGCATCATTAACCTCTGCACTGCGCCATCAGGCTGCCTGTTCACAGAGAACCATTCCTAGCTGGTTTCCTCTCAGCTCGATCTGCGTCGAACAGCTTCGCACACAAGCTGCTTTGTTAAATAAAACAAAAACTTCTTCAACGTCTTTTTTTAAACAGCCTAGAAAACCTTGGGAACAGGGATGAGAATGTTTCTTATTGTATGGATGATGACATAAGAGCATGTTGTAAAGAGATTTTATCTGTTGCGTCAGTGGACTAGCAGATTTAACACAGTTCATACTCATAGGAGCAGTTACACTTCCTTTGAGGGGACAAAAAAAAAAATCATTTGCACATGGACCTTCAGTGACAGGAGAGGGGACTTTGTAGCCACAGTCCCCTCTCCTTTCTGGTCCACTCCGCCAGCCCAGTGACTCTGATTTCCAGGTAGCTACACCTCTCTTCAAGCTGCTACCATGGGTCCCTGGGAAGTTCGTGTTCAGTCAAACTACTACCTCAGCTGGCGCCGTGGTCGCGCCCTCTGTCCTGTGGCTTACTGCGTTCCAACTCCAAGCTTCCAAAGCTCTATATGTACTGTACACTACTACCGAGGATGCAGGTCATTTTTGTTTGTTTTCTTTACATTGTTATGTTTGTATTGATCATTCAGGCACTTTAATAGGACACACACATTCACAAGTGATTTTAAAAACAAGAGGCGTTATAGATTCTGACATAAAGTTTGAATGAATGTCCTATTGAACGTGTTCAGTGTTGAGCTACATTCCTCTTATTTCTGAGTTTTACATCTCAATGCAGTCCACCTTTGTACATTCTCTTTGCCAAGATACGACTCTCGCGTCTTTACGCTCCGAACATTTTTGCCAATGTCATTTATATTTTGACTTTCTTTTACAGAGGTTTTCTCTGGCTCTTAAAAAACAACAAAAAAGTAAAGTCATAAAGTCTGTGCTGCTGTTATTGTACTGTAAAATACATTAGTTACCTCTTATATGTTTGGGCTCATTGCATTGAGGAATATTCTATTCCTGTAAGTGGTTGCAAAGAAACAGTACACAACATGTTACCCGTTGACCTCAGAATTTGTCGCATTACTTGAATTCTGCCCTAAAAGATGCATTTGTTTTCCTCATGAGCGGGTTCCGACACGGTGGGTTTTTACCGTCATACGGGAAATCGTACATAGATAATGCAACCTCTGCTTTGTGCAATTTGTGTAGCATCCACATGTATTGTAAGGCTGCAGTACCTTCAAGATGTGTAAACAGTACCACTTAAATTATGTTTTATATCTGCAAGTCACTTTTATGGAGTCACATGACAAGTGGAAATTGTTCTAAACACTTTTTTTGTTTGTTTCCTTCATCTGTTACTGAGCACTGGGGCTAACTTCACGGCACATACAGCCCATACCAGGAGATTCATTAACCTCATTCCAGCACATATTTATGCAATATGATGTGAATATATATATATATATATCTGTAATTTTTTTTTTTCTTGTAAAAGTGTTTTGAGGTGTTTTGTTGATTTACAAAATGTTAAAATTAGAGGCCATGGTTGGATAACCCTTGTTTAATTTCCTGCCTGTTACCTCCACTTCTTGTCTTTGCTTATCCAGATGGAAACATTTAACAGTGTCAAATGAGCAGTTTCAGAAGTACTCTTTAAAGAAGAACGAGCAGCGGTTCTGTTTGAGTCACTCCTAGACGAGCCGCAACCCACCTGGCTGTTAGTTCCAGCAGGTTTAATGAAGAAAAAACAAAAGACAAAAAAATTAAAGGGAGTTTTGGTTTTATCCTCAGAGGCTTTTTTCTAGGAGTGCATCAAACTTCTATGCAACAGATGTTATTTATTAAAGGAAACTAATTCACTTTTCACTGAAACTATGCAGAATGCGACCTCAATTTTAAACAGACTTCAAAGCAAACAGTTCAGCTACTCAGGCAGTTTAACTCAGAGGGCTCAGGGCCTGGATACGGCACCCCAGCCCATAAGAATCATTTGTAGACCTGTCATGCAAACAGAACAGTTTTAGGCAGTTTTGGGACTTTTAGTAGAGACATTTTTGTCTTTTTTTGAGAGATGTTTCCTCTTCCTAGTTCAGCACAAAAAGCAACAGGGTTTCACTGCCATCCTTCTCATTATACACTCTACCAAGGGCAGATCAGTGTTCTCAACAAAGGCTTCAGGTGTCGTCTCTTTCTCTCAGAATATGAATACTGGGTATTCTCAGAGGTTGCTCTTTGAAATTGCTGTGACCCTGTTTGTCCTACAACTTCACTTACTAGTTGAAAGGAAGTTCTGTGGACTCCGACGTGGCGCTGTTCTTTGGCAGCAGCGCTCTCTCAGTGTGGATTAGGTAAAAACACTGCATGTCCTGAAACTGCACTCGTCCTAGAATGGTTCAACATGAGCTTGTGTTCTGTTTGTTTATGCCTGCCTGTTTTTTACAGTTTAATCGAAAAATGTTTCAAGATGTTGGCCTTTCTATATTCTATCAGGATTTTCTCTCAATGTCCATGTTTACAAAAGAAGTCTTTCTGATCAAGGCCAAATGAATGAGCTAAACTGCTAATGACAACATGCTAGTTGTGATATCAATGCATTCTGACTGGATGGCACTTTGGGGGACGCCATCCTCTGTTACTGGAATAACAGATGTACAGACCGTGACGAAACCTGGATAAGAATGTGGAAATAAACATTGAATTTATTATAATGTTGGTTTGCAGCATTGTTTACATTTTTTGCATTGTTTTTTTTTTTCCCTACAAAGCACTGCATAAGATCAGTTCTGTTGTTTCCAAACCTTGAGCCCCTGCAGCCCATTGTCTTCATTAATCATTAACAAGGGGAAGCATTTAGGTTTCAAGAATCAAACTAAAGTAAAAGCACAATCTCACCTGCAAATTGTGTTTATACATGAATCATTAGTTCAACTTAAACTCGCTGCATTACCACCCTGGTCATTCATTGTTTTAGCTGAAGTGGCTTTGTCCTCCCAGGAGAACCTGACCCCTATTTTTAGATACACTGGGTTAATTGGCAATTCTAAATTGTCTGTAAGTGCTAATAGTTGTAAAGGTTAATAGCTTAAACTTTAAGCACAGAGTGAGATCATCACTGAGTGCCAAACTTAAAAAATGTAGGTCTACGCACGTATCCTCATAACAACTCAGGACTTTAGTGGGCACCATGCACGCTTAGACTGAAATTCATAAACATTATGGTGGACAGGGTAGTAGTTGACACTGACATCAAAATAGCCAGCTATGATATACTCCCCAAGACCATCAGGAAATGATGAAACACAAACAAGAAATGTCCTGCAAAATAACAGACATAATAAAAGGAGAAACAAATTTCAGGACCTATTGTGATATACTATGTGAGGTAACCAGTGCAAGTACCAAATGCGCTCAAATCCCAAATAACTAGATTACATAATAGGGTTACCTGTGTGCATTTTACTTTGGACAGCTGTGTACAGACGTGTACAGTGGGGCAAAAAAGTATTTAGTCAGCCACCGATTGTGCAAGTTCCCCCACTTAAAATGATGACAGAGGTCAGTAATTTGCACCAGAGGTACACTTCAACTGTGAGAGACAGTGTAAAAAAAATCCATGAATTCACATGGTAGGATTTGTAAAGAATTTATTCGTAAATCAGGGTGGAAAATAAGTATTTGGTCACCTCAAACAAGGAAAATCTCTGGCTCTCACAGACCTGTAACGTCTTCTGTAAGACGCTTTTCTGTCCCCCACTCGTTACCTGTATGAATGGCACCTGTTTGAACTCATCATCTGTATAAAAGACACCTGTCCACAGCCTCAAACAGTCAGACTCCAAACTCCGCCATGGCCAAGACCAAAGAGCTTTCGAAGGACACCAGGAAAAGTATTGTAGACCTGCACCAGACTGGGAAGAGTGAATCTACAATAGGCAAGCAGCTTGGTGTGAAAAAATCAACTGTGGGAGCAATCATCAGAAAATGGAAGACATACAAGACCACTGATAATCTCCCTCGATCTGGGGCTCCACGCAAGATCTCATCCCGTGGGGTCAAAATGATCATGAGAACGGTGAGCAAAGATCCCAGAACCACACGGGGGGACCTGGTGAATGACCTGCAGAGAGCTGGGACCAAAGTAACAAAGGTCACCATCAGTAACACACTACAACGGCAGGGAATCAAATCCCGCAGTGCCAGACGTGTTCCGCTGCTGAAGCCAGTGCATGTCCAGGCCCGTCTGAAGTTTGCCAGAGAGCACATGGATGATACAGCAGAGGATTGGGAGAATGTCATGTGGTCAGATGAAACCAAAGTAGAACTTTTTGCTATAAACTCAACTCGTCGTGTTTGGAGGAAGAAGAATACTGAGTTGCATCCCAAGAACACCATACCTACTGTGAAGCATGGGGGTGGAAACATCATGCTATGGGGCTGTTTTTCTGCCAAGGGGACAGGACGACTGATCCGTGTTAAGGACAGAATGAATGGGGCCATGTATCATGAGATTTTGAGCCAAAACCTCCTTCCATCAGTGAGAACTTTGAAGATGAAACGAGGCTGGGTCTTCCAACATGACAATGATCCAAAACACACCGCCCGGGCAACAAAGGAGTGGCTCCGTAAGAAGCATTTGAAAGTCCTGGAGTGGCCTAGCCAGTCTCCAGACCTCAACCCCATAGAAAATCTGTGGCGGGAGTTGAAAGTCCGTGTTGCAACCGTCTCTCACAGTTGAAGCGTACCTCTGGTGCAAATTACTGACCTCTGTCATCATTTTAGGTGGGGGAACTTGCACAATCGGTGGCTGACTAAATACTTTTTTGCCCCACTGTATCTTCTGAATGTTTCCATTTACTGAAAGTAAATTGATACATTTTATACAATTTGGCTTATAACACATATAAAACTAAGCTAACACTGTGTAACAATGTGACATGAGCACTTTTGTTCAGCAGCTCTTATTATATACTACTATATTTACCAGCTATACATTACAGGTCAAGATGTGACAATCAACTTGTAAAATGGGTTATTCACAAGCAGCAAAATATAAAGTAGATAAAATAACCTCCCTCTAAAGTGGGTGTAGCTTGTGTAGAACCAGTGTGCATCCACTTCTTAAAGCTGGTCATGAAAGCTGTATGCTCTGAAAAAAGAACAGTTTAAAAAAAAAAAGCCACGAGTTACCATAACATTCATGGCCATGATGGGATGAGTGCGTGTAAACCTCTGACCACAACTGTAATTAAAAGCATTTTTTCACCAAAAGGACTATATATATATTATATACCGTATAATCCTCTGAGAAGATCTTTTATATACTATTGTAGGTGTATAGAACCTACAATAAAGAAACTGAAGCCACCAGTTTCTCTAAAATAATAAATGCACAACAGGACTAAGAATCACAGCACACAAGTTGGATAATTGTTTATATTTATATTTGTATATATATTTATATATATATATATATTATATTGTGTTTACTTAACAAACATGATAAATGCAATGTCTCCAAGTTAGCTGTAACAATAAAAATACAATATCTTTGTGTCCTTAAAGTACATAGAATTAAAACAGCAAAACAAATCAAAACAAACAAACAAAAAAACCGCTCTAAGTAGTTCACAGAGAGGTACAAATATACAGTACAAATCTATTTTATTCAAAAAGGATACAAATAAAAACGCAACAAAATAGAGATAGTAATGCTTTGTTAAAGTCAGGTAGGTGTAGGATATTCTAAGGGAGCACTTTGGGTCGACAACTCTAAGGCTTCTGATTAAGATCAATACATATTGGTACGGCCATACGATATTAAAACTCACTATACAAAGTTCATACAACCTGGATTATACTTGAGGATTGAATGTTACATTTACATAATTGCATATATTTTGCAGATTTAGGCATTTAAAAAGATGCTGTTTTTTGTTTTGTTTTTAGTTATGCGTCACATAAAAAGCAGTGTCACCGTGTGCAGAAGGAAAAAAAAAAATAGTACAAAGTCATATCTGAAAATACACAGACTTTTTAAAACTTTTAACCGTTCTCATTTCTCCTGATTTAATTCGACATCAGCGGCACCAAAACCGTCCTAAATTCACCTTTGCAATACTGGATCAACAGGAAGTAGTTCACATAGAAATCCCATCGAGCAACGCCACAAAACATTGAAGAGAAAAAAAAAATAGTCACATTACCACCGATAGAAAAGTTTTGGCTTTATGCAGCCTTTCTCACTTATCCAAACCCGCCTCTGCTGTTCAGACTGTCAGAGCACAAAACACCAAACACCACCCATTAATTTCTAAGGAGGAAAGAAAAAAAGAAAAAAACCCTACAAATTCTGTGCAACAACAATAAAAACAACTGTGCATCTGTCTATGCATGTGAGGAATTAATAGATTGCCCTCCTTTTGCTGTCTTGTGTACAAAAAAAGTGCAGAGAAAAGCCTCCTTTCCATTCCCACATACTGGAAAAAAAAAAATAAAGGATCTGAATGTTAAATATGAGCCTAAAGAATCTATTAAAAACGGAATAAGAAATGTGTTTAAAAAGAAAAATGAAACCAAACCAAAACGTTGCAGAGTTCATGTCCCAAAGAAAGCCCACAGTCAACCTTTGAGACATCTAAATATGAATGTTTGTCATTTCTGATTCACTCTTATTCAACCTGAAACTGGGACGCTGAGCCTACCTGGAGCATCGTTTCAATTTCACATATTGTACAAAGCAGAATTTAAGGCATTAACGACAAGCATCATCGAAGCTATCTATACAAAAAATACAGCTATCTACAGAAACGTACAACCTGTGATTTCTCCGTGATTTTTTTGTGTGCTTTACATTTTGAAACTCTTCAAACTACCAACAGATTTCAAACACTGTAAAGGAGGACATTTAGTGCAATTACTTACAGCAACAGACGATCAGTGATGTGGATCATTAGACATCTTTATTTGAGTGGATACTTCCCAAAAGCAGAGGGGGAAAAGAAAAAAGTCACAGGTGGCACTGCTCGCACCATTTAAATGTCGTCAATTGAATCCTGACCTTACACATAATGCTGAAGCAGCAATCACGCCATGGTAATGCAGGACGAATGCATTGCTATTTGGCAAAGTGTGTGGCGTCGCAGGACGATAAACATCGATGAGAGTCACTGAGCATAAAATACAAAGTGGTAAAGCAAAACACTGCTTAGATTCCTATTAGAAGAGTAATTTAAAGCAAAAATCAGCGTGGAACGACTGCATCCGCCGACCTGCCCCGCTGCTTCAGAGTTAAGACAATGAAGGGTACAATACTGAGGTTACTGCATAGAGAAGACTACGTGAAATGTTTTCAGGTATTGTGTATATTGCTTACAGGATGAAAAACTCCAATCAGATGATCAGATATAAAAATAAAAAAAAGTCTGGGTTCACATGTTTGCTAATTTGACTAACCTGTCCATATCAAGTTTGACAGTTATTAGTTGAAATCTTTCCTCCTGTCCACACCGGCTGTAAAAAGGTTCATTTCAGGCCTACACTGACACTTAAGTGGGATGTGAGGGCAGCAGGCGAAACAGAGACATCCAGACTTGGCTCTCCATGGCCAGCTCTTCTGGAAGGACAGTAAGGGTTTTCCGAGTAGGACACACCTGGACCTTACCAAGAATGCAGGAGACACCTTGACCACATGTCCGAACAACCTGAACTTCGTCCTTTCAGCGTCGATGAGTAGCAGCTCTACTCTGTGCCCTTTCTAAAAAACCAAACTCCTCACCCTGTCTCTAAAGGCTGAACCCCAGCACTCTTTAGAAGACGCTCATCTCTACCGCGTGCACCCACAGTCTCACTCTTTCATCATTCTCCACAACTTGACGTCTTCAGGAGTCTGACTTTCACAAATCAAAATGTGTATCTCCAACAAGCACGATATGCGGGTGTTAGGATAACCATGATTTTTTTTTTTAAAGAAAGAAAAGAAATACTGACATATTATTAATACACACTTGAAAATATCAAATAACTGTCTAACAGTTATAGTTACAGATTTTGTTTTCCACATCCCTACAATTGTTAATACTTTTTGGAAAGAAACTGCACACGCAATAAACTAAATTATTATTTTATAGATATGGCACGACTGTTACATTTTAAACGTCTAAAAGTTATTTTAATGTGCGACTTTGCCATATGACTCCTGAAGCCCAATATTACTATTCCACAACACTGCATTGAAAGACCGCTGTAGCTTTGAGAGGGAATCTTTATACAAGCAAGAATGGATAGGAGGAATAAGTAATATGTGTGCGTGAGAGAAAGAAAAATGTGAACCCATCCTTTAAAACTGCTCAGGCTCAATCTCATGACCCCTTCTATCTGCTGATAGAAGTTCAGTGAATCACGAGGATATAAGGGAAACACACAACAGTGTCTGGACCTCACAAACAAACTAGTCCATAACAGCACACATGACAATAACAACCACACAACTGATGCTGCTGTCTGAACACGTCGAATTTAAAAGATACATGAAATATTCCTAAGTAACTTGCCAAAGGTAAGTCCAGATATCTATGGCAAAAGAAGTACTTTTTGATGGGAATGTCTGAATGAGGAATGTCGTCTGATTACGATTTTATGTATGGTCTAATTGCACTTATTTTTAATTACACCCTTTTTTGATTCTTTTTTTTTCTCCTGTAAGAAAGACAAAAGGAAGAAACTGCAGCATTTTTGTCGGCTAATTTGTAAACAGATTTAGAAACGCAAGTCAGTTTTTTTTCCTCTCGCCACAAAACCCCAACAACAATACTTTAAACCTATTCCCTTCATTAAAAAAATAAACTACTGTACTGTGATTCCTATTTAAAGGTCAGTATGAAATAAATGTGACATCTGCTATGTGCAACACAAGACAATCTTAGGAACCACTGGAATAAAGACAGCCTAGTATCAATGCAAAACGTACACTTTAAAAGGTAAAAAAAAGAAGTTGATGATGATTGTGATTTCATTAGAGCCGGGCATCTCTCGGATGTGCACTTCAGTAAATCCATTAAAAACAATTAAAAAATATCAGTGAAGTGAAAAATCCATGTTTGGACAATGACTTCTTGAGAAAGTTTCCAAAGGCTTTGTTTGTGCAGGATTGCTAAATTAATGAAAATGAGCATTAAAAAGAGTGCATCGCCTTTAAGAGTCAAGGGATGAGAGGGTGAGATCTCACACTGCACATTTATCGAGATTTACCACACCCCACAAGAAGTTCCTGGGAGAGGGCAATACGGATCAGTAAAGCCACATAGCATAAAAATAACTATTGCTTTAATCTGGTTACTGAGCAAGTCGAGTTTAGAACATCACGGCCCCACTCATATACACAAAAAACTACTACACCCTCCAACTCCGGACTCCTGGGCTGTAGGTGGCAGTGCAGCCAGCGAAGCAAAAAGAGAAACAACTTGCTGGCTCATTCCCACAGGTGGCTTTAGTGATGACCAGGCGGTGCCTCCTCCTTAATTACAAAGTTCACAAGAGAAAACTAAATTCCCCAGTCTGGTTGTGAAAGCTCTGAGGTAAAGTGAGGAGAGGAGGCCATGACTTTGGAAGGGAAATTAAATCATTTAACTAATGTAAAAGGTCATGCAACAAATTCCTATGAGCAAGGACTTGGTGACAGTAGCGAGAAGAAGCCTGACAATACCCAGCTGAGGGGCGTGGCCATCTGTCTCGACCAGTTTGGGTGATGAGGAAGTGAAGAGAGAAGTAAAATGATTCCCTACATGGGGGAAAGTTAATAGTGGAATGCGTGACATCGCTTATTATTTCTGTAAATCTACGTTGGGGCCATCAACCTAAATCTGAGAGTATGATGGTGAATGGCTTTTGGAGAAGGAGAAATTGATTGCTGAACAAACAAGCTGATTGATTTATCACTATTTCAGTGTAAGACAAGTGGGACATGCCACACTTGGCCTGAGACGAGATCTTTGCAGAAACGAGAGAGGGGAGAGAGTATCTCTGCTGACAGCAGAGGTTTCAGACTCCTGCAGGAGAAGCATAATGTAACATACACTGATGAAAGCATCAACAGTGCCAACATCACCAAAGGAGCTGCTGATGTCAGCAATTCTACTCTATCTGCTTTTCATAGAAATAGGATCTTAGCAGTGAAGCAGATTAAAGATCCCTGGCGGTGATCTTTCTAATAGATCACGACTTGCAGGGTTGGTAGTTTCACTGCGATACACGTATATTATTTTCCTGTAGTCTGTGTTCTTCTGAAGAGACGGTCTGGTCAAAAAGGAAGCTAGAGTGATTTGAATGCAATGGAAACCTCCAAGTATGGTTAAGAGGAAGTGGAGACGGAGGAGGGAGGGAGGAAGAGAAATGCAGCGTATAAGGACTCTATGGTAGGCATTTCTTCAGCTACATACTTTCTGCTCCACTTTTCATGCCCCCCCCCCCCCGGCCGCCATGAACTCAGCTGGCTGGAGACCGAAAGGTCGGCATCTTTTGGCTGAGTGGCATTCGAACAAAATCAAACTTCTCACCAGACAGACAAGGATCTGGTCATTTTTTTGTATATTTTAGGTGTGCAAAATCTCAAACATTCTGAGGATACATTCACACTCTTTTTTTCCCTCTTTCTCTCCTTGTCAGACTCATTCTTACTTGTGGCAGTCTCATCTGTAGTTGCTACCAAATGTGATGCTACTTCCCTGCATTAGAGCGCCCCTCAATGGACAGTTTGACCTCCTGTGGGATGAAAGAAGGCCTTGTGTGGCTGGAGCTGATTATCTGAGGGCGTGGCCCTTCGTCTCCCTTCATACTGTATCTTCGGAGGCCAGGCGAGGACCAGCGTCTCTGTGAGGCACCTACTGCAGCCTGCATTGCTCCCATCCCTGCCTCTGCAAAAACAGAGCCTTCTGTGTGCAAGTGGTAACTGCTCTGGCTCCTTGGATGCTCTCCTGAGGTCCTACTTGGTCTGATGGGCGACTCAGTGCGGCCTACAGCCCCGAGCTGTGTGGCTTCCTCTTTATCGGCCAAATCTTTCTCTCCATCCTTCTGTCTTTCTCTGTGAATGCGGTCCAACCTGAAATGAGATGGTGGCCGTGACTGCTGAGGGGCTGGAGGCCCCATTAGCTGGTGACCAGGTCCTGATATAGCATTGGCTTTGCTTATAGTCCTGGACAGGTTCTGTTGTTGTTGCGTTTGTGAATGATGGTGCTGTGGTTGCTTCTGTTGTTGTGGAGGAAGCGGTGGCTGCTGCTGCTGCTGCAGGGTGATGGACACACACATGTCACCAACTTGTAGATGATGGCAGGCCAAGCCGTAGAGCTGGGCTGTGCGTTCGGGGCTGCAAGATGACCATCCCTGGCCAAAGACAAAGAAGGGGTGCTCCGGGGGCACGTCGATGGTCACTTTGCTCTGCTGCTCCCCCACAGTAAAATGAAGTGAAACCAGGCCGGGTCTCTGCTGGCTGGCACGGATGTCCATCACCAAGCTTGAGTCGATTTTAAGCCCTCCGCTCACTTCGGCGCTACGCACAAAATCCTGAGTCTGCAGGTCCTCCACACGCTTCAGCTCCCCAGTAGCCAGCTGAATAATTGCCCCCTTCATGAAGTGCGATGGGTTGCAAGAAGCCGGTGCGGGAGCAAGGCTTGAAGTTAAGGCCTGAGTCGCATCTGCTGTAGGCTGGACTGGAGGCTGCGGGAGAGGCTGCTGCTGAGCTGTGATTGGCTCCACCCTTTCAGAGAGGCACACTCTGGCTGAAGAATCAGAGGCTTTAAAGCTTGGGCTAGGGGAGGCCAGTGTGGTAGAGGCATGGCTGGCTGAGGCATCATTAGCCTGTCCCGGGTAGTGTTGCTGTGGTTGCTGATGCGGATGACACTCCAAGGGAATAAGTACCGGTTGCCCATTGGCAAGCATGACAGTGTGGCCTGGCTGTCCTGCGTGCTGCTGGAGGGCGGTGACTCTGTGATCACTGTAACTCGCGTTCTGCGCCGCATACGCCGTTCGGCTGGAAATTACACCTGGACTCTCTCCGTGGACATCTCTGGCTCTGTGGCCACCCTGAGAGAGGTTCAAGGGAGCAAAGGAGACCTCTTTCCGTGCTCCGATACCACTTTGGTTAGAGGAAACCAAACGCCCAACCACCTGCTGCACCTGAGAGTTGAATAAATAAATGAGTAGTTATTTGAACAACTTAATTTCACAGAACAACTTAAAAATGGCTTTTGGTACGCTTCCTCACAGCAGCCTGAAGAAACCAAATGTGTAAAATATGAGTGGCTTTTAATTATTGAGTTCCTAAATCTTCAACCTCTCCAACAAGAGATTTCAGGCCAGACAACGACCACAAAATTATTATTTTTTAACTGATGTCAGAAAAGACAGACACCATAGAGCTCCCTCTGACTTCTTTTACAGAAAGGCTGTAAAATGGTTTGATCTGCATGGACATCATTTCTAGACCCTTCAAGTGTTCTCTATTGGTCATGCTCTGCTTGCCATGTTCAAATGTGAGATTTTCTTTGCATCAGGTGACGCTTCCCTTCAGTGTACATGTAAAACACAAAACTTAAGCTGTAACATGGAACAATGTCACACACCGTCTTATATCACTCCTGGCTCTTATTTAACTGTTAACTTTGGTTTATTCTTTGTGCATTAACTTGTAAAGAGGCATTAAATCACCATTTCACTGTTAGAGGGTACGTTAGAAAGCCATCAGTGTGTCTCACCTCCAGGTCACTGTCCGGAGTGCTGCGCTGACCAGGAGAACTTCTCTCTTCCAGTCTTCGGTTCTGCAGGACTTTGTCTTGGCTGTGCTCCTGTGATGCTGAGCTGGATGCAACCTGTAGTAGACGTGCATTTCTGGCAGTGTAGACAGAGTCTGGTACAACCTCTCTGGCTCCCTGCTCTTTGTCCCCTCCATTCACCTCCAATTCATTCTCCTGCTGGGAACTGTGGCAGTCTCTGACAGCAGTGGCACCCCTTGCTCCCTGAGGGTGGCAGAAGATGGGCATCCCTCGGGAGCTAAGCTCTGTTGCAGGCAGGACTCCAACAGTACCAAGGTGCTGCTGGGCAGCTTGCTCTGAGGGCAGCATCAGTGGGACACCACTGGAAGCTGCAACTTTGGCAAAGGTATGAGCAGCCACCTGGGCCTGAGGAGGTGGAGAAACAACACCTTCTTGTATGACAGATGGGTAGGGAACAAGGTGGGACACAGCATGGGGCTGCGGGATGGTCCCTGAGGGAGAGATTAATGATCCTGGGACAAAACCAGGGGGGAGCGCGTAAGGTACTGCTGCATAAGGGGAACTGACAAACTGGAGAGAAGAATGAGGGATCTGTGCATAACCAAGAGGGGGATAGGGAATGCCAGGATGATGCTGCAGGAGGGGAGAGTGTACAGTAAAGGCTGGAGAAATGTGGCTTAACACTGGGTGTAAACTGGTAGGTGAGTAGGTAGCAGATGGAAGGGCCACTTTGTAGAGCATACTGTACTGGTCAACGGGCACTGCCGGTATGCTGTCAGAATTATCCACTCCATAATGAAGCCCTGGCTGAGCTCGCAGCCACTCTCCAGAGGGGGTCCCTCCCTGAGTTTCACTGCTGGCTCCACAATTCTGGATGGAAACCACTTCCTCTTCTGCAATACCACCAGCAGCACTGCCAGCTCCGCTGTTAGCCCCTCCGACTGGAACCCCACCTCCCACTGTCCCTCCAGCTCCACTGCTGCTGTTACTTATTGGGAGATCCCTTTTCTTAGGAGGCAGGCACTCCTGATTACGCTCCTGAGCTGGTTTCATTGCTATCCTCAGACAAAGCCAGTAGCTTTATTGTACTGCACAGGAACTGAAACTTGCAAGCCAGTCAGCCCGCACAGGAACCAGTTCTGAAATCACCTGGTTCACCTCATCTACCAAACCACCTGAAAAGAAAAATACAATAAAATAAGACACATAATATTGTCTCATTGCATCAGTGCTTAAAACTTTGATTTTTAGGCTTTATGGTCGGCCACAAGTTGTGTTAGTTTACCCTCAACCACAGAAAGAAAGCACTAAAGCAAACCTCTTATGGTTTCCTTTTTTTGGTCATTCATATATACTAGTAAAGTCACAATGTGCATATTAAACACAACCAGGTTAGGGTACTTGCTGTGGCAATGGCAATTTTATTTATATAGCACATTTATTATATGCAAACTCAATGTGCTCAACACAGAAGCCAAAAAATAAATAAATAAAATCCCAGTACAGGTTTGCAATGCATTCAGGAAGTAAAAACGGCAAAATATGATAAAACAATGTCTGAATAAAAAGTTTTTGAGCCTGTTTTTGAATGTATGCGTAATTGTACTTGATCTCAGGTGAAAGAAAAGGATCAGTTTGAGTACAACCAAAAAAAATCTCAGGCTTCAGACTACTCAAAACTCTTGATTTCAAACAGATTTTTCTGCTCTTATCTCTGTTTGACAAGTTCAGTTAGCATAACTTTGAATTATTCAAAGTTACTGTAGTAGAATCGTAAAAGAAAATATGGAGCTAGAAATGGGCAAAAATTAGTCCACTTTGAAAGGTACAGCTATGCTGATCTAAGAGCAGAATTTTGTTAATCATCTCTGATCATGTCTATCTGTAGAAGCAAAAATAAACCATTTGACTGGGAAAACAAACCCTTAAGCTGCTTGACATATATATTAACAGTACATACATAGTACTAATACATGAATACTCATTACTGTTTATTACACACAGACAAACTGTAATTTAATGCCCCATTTTCCAAAATGTAGCATTTTTTTATATTAACTACTTTTTACAGTCACATTTTAATACAATAAAACCACTGCAATTAAGTGCAATACATCCAATTCACACACTCCCTGCCCCCCTCCAGTAAACATTCAAGCTGTTCCATGTCTACTTGAGTAGTAATAAAGTTGGAAATATAACTGTTGCAATGCATATCAGCTTGTTTACTATACAAACACAACCCCATTCTAAAGAGATTAAAACATGCTGACAGATTTTTTTGGACAGCTCCATTTGCTAATTTAGCACACACTTAATTTGAAAAAGCTTATATTTAAAAATAAATAAATAAATCAAAGTCCAGAATCCAGACTTCTTTCAGCATGACTATACGGGAAACAATGTGAATTTTCATCTAGAAAAATCTCTTCAACTAATGCTGTAAAAAGTCAAGAGTTTTCTTCCTGTTATCGCTACACTCCAGGGAAATTTGTTTACCGTTAGCTGACTTAGCTAAAGTTAGCTAGCTACTAGAATTCCTACTTTTAAGGAGAAAGAAGTGACAGTATGACACTTCGCAGTGCAACACCAAGCGTAGCCGACGAGTTTAAATGGTAGCTAATGTTATACGAGGCCACGACGCCTATCGCTATAATTTATCACTGTGCATCAGTCCAGAGGTTCAGGCTAGTTAGCCCCACGGCTAAAGCTAAATGAACTGACTCCAGCCCTGCTCGACTCACATCAGCTCATAACTACGATGGCAGCGCGCGGGGAGCCTCTAATAAACGCCCGTGCTTCGTCTCGACCTGCACACATACCTCCAAATGTCATCGCGAACAGGAGTTTCTTTATTAAAAAGTTGATATTCGGAGGGGACAATTGAAGTAATCAAGGCTCAGGAGTCAAGCCCATTTCGAAGGCCAGCAGAGGCGCTCAACAATGACGTCACTACGTTTACTCCCTTAGATTAGGCGTGCACTACTACCAGCAGAACGAAGTTTTTATCCTACTTGCACATGAAAAATATAATATTACTTTTAATGCTGTGCGAACAGATACTCACAATTGCTTTTCTGGCAGATTTTTTCCAGTTTTTTCAAAATAACAGCAATAACACAACACATCAAAGCCAAAAAACATGGCGTTCATTCACTTTATTGCACATATAGATGTTAGTATCAGTTATTTTCATTTCATTTTGTTTGCTATTGCTTTGTTTTGATCAGTGTCTGCCTTAGCTTTAGTTTTTACAGCGATATGACTGAAGTTATATTGTTATATTATAAGGGGTACAATCTGAGAGGGTCAAAACAGGTATAGTATACAATATACTATTTTATCTACAGTCATATAGACATCCCAATCTCAGTAAACATGTGAATCAATTCCAGCCATTTTTCACAGATGTGATCAAATTGAGAAAAACTAAATACATTTCCTGCATGCTGGTGTGTCTTATTTCAGTCATTTATATAAATACATGTTTTTGTAACGTCTAGTTTTTGGGATTTTCAGTTTTTTTCATACCCACTTACTATTTAATTTGGGTGTTGTGAACTCTAATAACCTCGGTATAAATTAATTAAATGTACAATACGAAGTGTCACACAGCAGGGGGAGCTGAAGACATGCACCAAATAGAATTTACAATTGGGTAGTAACTTCATATTTTCTGTAGCATCAGAAACCCTCCATTAATTTTAGTCATTTTTATAGCCTATGTATATTAATAGTTAAATGCTTATGCTTCATACGTTTGTTTTGGTACCTTTAATCATTTGATGCAGTAAAATAGCAGTTTCATTTCAAAAACAGTAGCAGTACATAATCCTGTTGTCCTGAAATGACGATCTGCAGTTTTTTTGTGTCATCTCCTCTGCAGATGCTGATTTGACTGAAAAAAAAAAAAAATGAACAAAGGCTTTGCTTTTACATGAAAAGAGCAAATTCTCTGAACTGACAAGCAGCGAACATGGAGGTTCTGAAAACCAGAAAGTGTTGCCTTGTTGATAATCCACCTTTGAGTTAAACAAAAGGCATGTGACTGTAGAGTAAAAATATGCAGGTGTGTCCACATTGGCTGGAAACATCTGAAAGGTGCCAGCCCCAGCACAAGGCCTTTACAGACTCTAAGAAGAAATATGTTTTTCAGACATTTCTTCAAAGGTAAAGCAAGCGGTGATATTTCCAGTTCCCTTACATTGCACACGGCTGACTTACCGTGGCATCTGTCAGTGAGATGATACAGTGGAGCAGAACTCTTGTTGATGCTGGTAGTTATACCAGTGTTTTTACTTCTATGAACTGAAAGAATGTATGCTCTATAAAAGCAAGCAAATTTGTATTTTCAAAAAAAGAAACTTTGTAACACACTAGCCTAAGCTCATCTTAGAAATTTGTGTAATGTTTCAACAATCAGCCGACAGCCTGTAACAATGAAATCAGTAACAACAGTGCTACTTCAGGGCCCCTTTGATCCTGCACATCATGCAAAACTGACAACAATGTTGACTTTTTTTTTGCTTCTTATCCTGCAAATTTTTAGTTTTTTTTGTGCTGAGGGTATCTCATAAGATCCATTGGTTATCCATTGTTTTGGTTTTGTAGTGTGGTTGACTGATGTCCATCTAAAAGCAATTCTCATTACTCTGCAATCATCTAAAAGGTTCCAAGGCATGCATTTGGGATTTGTTTTCCAAGCTTTTTCCAAATTAACTTCAGTGGTCTCCTTTAGAAAAAAAATAAGGCTCAGAATCATCAGTCAAACCAGCTATTCGCCAGGTTATACTTCTATCAACAAGTTTGGTTTTGCAGATATTTTCTAAGAAATTCCATGATGATTATAAGTTCTCTGACTATCTCCTACCACAACTCCGGGTCCAGACAACATTACTGAACAAAAAAACCCATCTGAGAAAAGTTGGTTTGTTTTCCTCATTTTGCATTAATGGATTTTTTCCCCATGAATATCAACTTGGTAATTTTCATGCCACAGCAAATACTTTCAAATTAGCTGTGATAAAGACATTATTGTCATGAACATGTCATAGAAAAGCCAGAGCACAGTTTCATTTGCAAACTTATGTAATGATTGGTTACTAGTACATATTTGAGCTGTATTTTCTGTTATGAAAAAAAAAAAGCTTCAGTGCAGTACCTCAAAATTTAACTAAATTTACACAATTGGTACAAATCAACAGGTTTTAGAAAACTAAGATAAGCCGACAGATTTAGAACAAAGTTACAAAAATGGTCAATCTTCCCAAAAAACAAACAAACAAACAAAAAAAAGGCACAGAGGACGTCCAGCAGCTGCTCCATCCCTCTTAGAGAACATTTGCATATCTGAATAAATACATCTGCTGTTAATCGATATCAAACGGTGCCACAGAAGAAGCACGGTCATCATACACTTACAGCAGAGTGCAACATTGTGAATTAGTGGAAAAATAACACAGCATATAAATATCTCTTCATAAAATATAGAGACTAAATCAAGGATAAAAGTTATTTAGTACCATTAATCAAAAATATTAATTGGAAATTTTCAAGCATATACAATATTTATAATATTTGCCAAAAATTATATTTAACAAATCTATCCTATATACTGAGTAAACTGTGCAATTAATAGCAGTTGGGAGAGCAGTTTTGCACTCACATTATACACTACAGAAACACCTGAACTAGTTATTGCAGAATAAAACCCTCATATCACTGGAAACTGATCAATCCAGCATCGCAGGACCACTGCGAATGACAAAGGGTTTGACAATAAACGGCATTTTAACATTTTAAAGAGGAATTACACAGTGATTTTTTACTGATGCCATTGATGATGACATTTTCCCCAAACTTGCCAAGACAGCACACAGTTGCACAAAGAACAGCGGGGCATGTTTAGCACTACATCTTCAGTTCTTGTTTTCGAATGCTGCCATTAGTCTCTGCAGAGTAAATGTATCAAGAGAAATGAGGAAGGATACAGTATGCTGAACAGTGTGTGCAGTTCATGCTTTTAAACTTTTCATTCTCTACAACTGAACCCTGCAAAGTCAAAATTACAGGCACATGCATTTATGAGGCTTTGCAGTAACCAGATGACTTCTTGCTAATGTGCTGCCCTGAAACTGTGTCATGCTCTCTGAATGCTTGGACTCAGTGCCTGATATCTGATTCATCATTTACCAAACTAGGGACTGGATTGAGTCATAGCATCTGTCCATCCCTTTACTTTGAAGAAAGAAAAAAAAAATACCATTCAGCTACTATTATTCTGAAGAATTTCTCCTTGGTGCCTTGCCAGAAGGCCTCTAAGTTTAATAAAGCTGCTTCGTAAGAAAAGAGGAAATATCTACCACAGATTGAAGTCCTCACAGCTCCATTTCCCCGCAGACTAAAAATACAGGTCCTTATTGCTGCTTCAAAAAAAAAAAAAAAATAGAGTTAATCTACAGTTAGACCCTGAAATCACACCATTTGCTACCAATCGCAAAAACCCGAAAACAAAAACAACCCTTAAAATATGGGCACTTGTAGCAAACAGCAGTAAGTTTGTGCAAGAGGAAAAACAAAACAAAAAAAACATTACATTCAACCAAGGCAGATCTTTTTTTGATGCATAATACATGTTAGCAGTATTATTTTCTGTTCCTCTTTCTGAAATATAAATTAAAAAAAATAATCTTCAATTAAATCTCCATGAAGGCACAAGCAACTTGACTACTTGGAAGTCAGTGTTCAGTGAAAAGCATCATTGCTGCTGCAACACTAAATGGGCAATTTTTCTTTAAAGTTCATATAACATTACTCCATTTCAGTGAGACGTCTTATTGACCAATAAGAATCCAAAGAAATAACAATTTAACTCATAGCACTATCACAAATATACCTCATTCCATTATTGCTTTAAAACATACAGTAAATCAGAGGTAAATGTCAGAAAAGGTGTATTAAAAAGCACTCTTTAAGTAGATGGATGACAAAAAATAAAAAGTTATGATCTTTCACAGTCATACAAGAGCTCATGGTAAGGCCAATAATGATGTGCTTAAAAGACTGAATTCCTCAACTGTATTTTTCAGTGCTACAGACATTACTCTAGAAATTACCTCAGATTTGGATGCAGCATCAATGGCGCAAGTTCTAGCTTATAAATAATTCAGTATAAGTCCAAAATGGCATATATTTCTAATTCTAAGTTTAGTTCTTGGTATTTAAGAAAGAGGTAAGAGAAAATAAGATGATTAGTTGTTAGAAAAACCTGTACTAGGCTCAAAAAAGTGAGTCCTACGTCCTCAGACGGTGTCATTAGCAAGAGTCTCTGTTGAGAGCCAGATCCTTGCACCATTCAGAAATTTGCTAATGGGAGTCCCTTGGACAGTGCGGCGGGAAAGGTTGCCCGTTGGGGTGAAAGGAAAGGAAGATGTAAGGCATTCTGGAGGTGTAGAGGGGTCATCAGGAGAACTGGCTTGAAAATACATCCTCCGTTGGTCTGTAGGGTTTCCACCTGAGCTGGTGAGTGGTGTATTGCCTGGACTGGTTCCCTTATATTGCCTGAGTTGGCTCTGCAGTATCTCAATTTCATCAACCAGCTGGGAGAGCTTGTGGTAGGTGGTGACTGGGCCTCCTTTGGAGATGCAGGCTTCAGGAACCCAACGGAGAAAGAAGAGCTTCCAAAAAGCCATATGAGAGGGCATGAGCAAGGGAATCAGCAGGCCCTGCAGGTCAGCGGGTCGAGAGAACCAGTCCTTGAAGAAGCGCTCAGATGGACTTAAGTCTTTCACTGGTGTCAGCTCAGACTTCAACTCGTTAGCTAGAGAGCTTCGTCGGGTCAGGGACTCCTCCCCACCCTTTACCCCATTACGCAGATTTGTGGGCGTCCCTCGTAATGTGGAACTGTAGGCTTTCTGCTACAAAAAGAG